TCATACTTGATATGTTAAAAGCACCATATACTGTGCCCCCGAATTACAATTAAAAAAAAAAAAATTTAAAACAGGTGATAAATGTAATGTTTTTTCCGCAGCAAGAAGAGGAACTGTGTAATGTTCGCAGAGGATTGCAGACATTGTTTCAATCAGAAGATAGAATTTTGAAGTAATATTTTCAGGTACCTTCCTGAAATTCAAGGTGAATATAAATAGTATTTTATAATGTAAAATTTGACAATTACATTTTTTTCTTCTTACAGTCAAGGAAACTATTGTAATGAAAATATATTTTCCTTAATAATACTAAAATCTTAATGTATAGGACATCTCCTTTTATATGCGAGATCATTATTTTACTGAGTCTGCTGAACTTCAACATGTAAACTTTTGGATTTTTTAGCTATTTTTTGATGTTTTCAACAAGTTTTATAGGTTAATTAACTGACTTTTAGAGAAAGCACTTGAATTTCACTTTGAATCTATGTTTTTGGTTCTGTGTGTACAGCAATACCCCTTTTGTCTGATCCAGAATACAGTCAGAAATTATTTAGGAATCAAATTGCCTGTTTTGATCTCAGTCCTATTTGTCTGTGGTGTTTGACTTCCATAGAAGTTTCTAAGAGAAAACAAAACTAAACACTTGTGGTTGAACTACGTTGCAAATATCTGTATTAAACATTTCAAGAAAAATACATATTATCTGTTTTGTGGTTTGTTTTTTTACAGTATGATGTTGTTACTATTTTGCTTTAGATCAGTAATACGTATTTGCATGTCAGGTAAACATTAATGTTGTGCAAATATTTCATGTAAGACAACAGACAGCAAGAGGCTAGCTCTCCATAGCTCAGAAACACATCCTACATATTAATAGAATCTATTCCATATACTTAGATTCCAGATTTCCTAAGAAAATGACTCGTGAGTCATAATTTACACTTTTCCTTTGTGGCCACATATCAATTCGAAGTTTTCTTCTGAATATTTATGAATGTGCAACTTCTAAGCTACTATTTCCCTTGATTTGCTTTTAAACAAAAAACTACGTTACATTTCATAGTTCTTTAGCAGCTGTTTAACCTTTTTTAACTTGCAGTCCTGCATGTATAGACTGTAAACTTGTCAGGCTCAGAAGAATACCTTTAATATTTTTCATTTAAGTTCTCTTTAAAATTGGGGATTAAAAACTTGGAAGTAACAGATGCAGAGAACAACTGATAGAACGTGCATGTCTTGGAGCTCCTCTCCATTACCACACGCAGAGCTGCCTCTACCGTGGAAGGGACTCCAGGTTAACACCCGCCGCATCTGGGCAGCCTGAGCTCGCTGAGCACCAGGCGAGCACAACTTCACAGCTTCTGGAGCAAGGCTGAACAGGCTGCACGCTTGGCTGTAGCTGATGTTATGACCACAGAGGTCTCAAAAGAATATATTAGCCAATTCTGGGGTAACAGCTCTTCACAACTTCGTTACTTCACAGCCCATATTTTACATTCCATTATACCTCTTATTTTATCCTTGGGTAATTTTTGACATCGTACATGTCTGTTGTTTCTTCCACTATCTCCCTCTACCCTCTGAACTCTTCTGGTTTGCCTCAGTTTCTTCTCTACAGTCCTAATACTGCTTTATTATCAACACAGACACCTTTACTTACAGTAGCGTTCTTTAGTCTAATTTTTTTCTCATATGTTACTGAAAGCATCCAGTCTATATCTCTCAAAATCATATTTATTTTCATTCCAGCTACTTCTGTATTCAGCTATTTATTATGCTATATTGCTGCTGCTATTACTGTCTAACATTTTTTAAAAGTCCAATAGATAGGCTTTCATCATTTTAAGTTGTCTGTTACTTACGTCTCATGCTGACTGGACTTCCTTCAAACCCTCCAATCGTAGTTTCAAAATATTGCTGAACTGTACCACTGCCTGCATCTTTGAAACTTCACTAGGTTTCTTCTATTAACTCCTTGTTGCCTTGCCCATGCAATCTGTCTGTCCTACAGGTACTTCGTGTGGCTTTGATTTGTCCTGCATTCTTTCTGAGAGTAACCGCATCCTAAGGTCTGTTTTCAGAGAGAAAAAAGCGTGATTTAAAATCAAAATTTAAGGTAGAGTTATGGTAGAAAAAACACTAACTTAGATCAGAAATGGATGTGCTAGACTTCTGTCCAGTGTGCATTGAGAGTAGAAAGCAGAGGAATTGGTGTTCTTAGACTTCATTGCTAGGAAATGGTTTATTGTAAATGGGAAGAGTTGTAAATGGAATATATTCCTTATGAATTAATTTTAAAAACACAAGGCTGTCTTGTCTCTGGAAATTATTACATTCAAATTGCCAGTAAATAGTTTGGCCCACTCCTCCAATCTACGTAAATGTCCTTCATGCTTTTTTAATCTTTCTGTCTCAGATGTTTGTGGGGTTTATGGTTTTGAGCCTGTGATCACTGTCCTCTCCACTAGATGGACCTCATGAGATGCTGATACTTTTTTTTTAACTGGTCTGTTTTAGTTTTATCTGTACATGAAACAGTATCTTTCTCTTAACTGTACAGGGTTTTAAAAAATGCACTGCAAGGCCCATATTATTTTCTTACAGTGAGCACGTATTGAAAAAATAATACAACTGCTATTTTTAGTGAGGATTCATGATAAAACAGAATTACAAAATTTTACTCTCCACTTACCGGTCTTTACCCCACCCCATTAACTTCTGAAAACTGAGCGGGTACAAACAGAACGAATGTAAGGACGTGAAGCGCATCACAAGGGAGTGCCCACAAAGACAGTTCAGCACAGGGAGATGCGGTTCTGCTTGTGGCTAGGAAACCCCAGGGTCATTCGGAGCAGACACCTACGTGGAGCGATAAGAATTGTGCACTGCAGGCCTGTTCTTTTTTCCAGTGGCGAAAAAGCAGCACAAGGAGAGTGAGCCTCCCTAGGCTAAACCTGCTTCAGGGGACACCTACCAAAGTTCCAGCAGTATGGGAGCACAGTGTGTGGCCTGGAGAATGCGTGCAGCCTGCGAACCCCTGGATGGACTTGCCCACCGTGAGCTGACAGCAGTTACCTGTCAGCGATCCTGTGTGTCGGAAGCAGTCACAGGTTTCTGGCTCTTAACAGACCAAAGTGGAAAACAGGCTGGATGCCTGTGATGGAAGGACAGTGGAGAACAGGGCCAAGGGATGAAGCATAACTACAAGATGGTTAAGTCACATTAATAACGCAATCTCATAGGCATTGTTTGGAATTTAAAAAGCAGCTCTGCATTACCGTTAAAGTATTTTTCTGTTCATTATATTTTTCAACATTAATGTGTTTTATACATGGTTTTTTAATCAGTAAAAGTATGTATCACTACTAAATAGAAGTGTTACTTGCATGGATTACTAGCCAAGTTTGTAGTTAGCAGTGAGTTGCCTACTGTTCTCAAACTGAAAATGGTTCTTCTGCTGAAGAAACTTTTCCTTCCTTTCTGTTTACCTTTTTCTGTGTGCTACACCTGGACTATCATTATATTGTTATTTAGAAATGATAGTATTTTATTAATAATAAAATGATTGCAGATATAATGAACAGTATGTTAAAAGGCTAGTTACAATGTTACATAATTCTGTGAAAAGCCAGCAAGTTCTAAAATTGCAATAAATAGGAAAAAAAATTCTTTGGATCAAATAATTGGGTAATTCAGGTCTTCAGCCAACAGTCATGTCAGTCAAACTTTAAAAAGCTGTACCTAGATCTGCTAGGGCCGGTAGTGGCAGGACAAGGGGTAATGGGTTCAAATTAAAAGTGGGGAGATTTAGATTAGGTGTCAGGAAGTTCTTCAAGGAGAGGGTGGGGAGGCACTGGAACAGGTTGCCCAGAGAAGCTGTGGATGCCCCATCCCTGGAAGTGTCCAAGGCCAGGCTGGATGAGGCTTTGAGCAACCAGGTCTAGTGGAAGGGGTCCCTGCTCATGGCAGGGGGGGGGGACTGGATGGGCTTTAAGGGGCCTTCCAACCCAAACCTGTCTGTGATTGTATGAAAATTACAGCTAGCTGCAACAAAGCTAGTGAGCCCCGTTGGTCCTGGGCACCGCATCTCCCGTGGTTCATGAGTTTCTTCTAGCCCTGCCCTTACTGGCACTGTTTCAGATGTTGCGCTGTATGTTCTTACCTTCCATTCTTAAATGTTAGTTTACCCAAAGAATAGCACTGTGTTTGTGTTACGTCTTCCCCACGCTGAACAGCAGAAGAGAATTAAAAGTTAGTCCATCCACTATTTGCATTGATTCTACTCACCCTCTTGCAGCAATTTAGTTTGTACAGGCAATTTTACATACCTCCTTTTCTTTATTTTCACGCATCCTGGAGATCATCTCAACAATGCCACAAGATTGAGAGCACCTTTTTCAAATTTGTAGCATTGAACAACTTCCTACACATACAGCATTTAAGACTCGCAGAGAAGTTTGTCTTGTGAGAGTACGTGCCGTTTTGTTGCTGTCTTGTCAGGCATGCTTTTCCCCTTTTTTCCTAAGCTTTTCCTTTTAGTAGTATAATTCTCAGATGCCTCTAGAGGTCAAGCATTATTAGAATGTCTGGCTTTACATTTTCTCAACCCGTTTTACTTGCTTTGTTTATTAGCATTTGGTAACTTTTTTACTGTCAAGAAAGCATTAGAATAATCTGTTTGCTACATATCCAGGTACATTGTTAAATTTCTATCTGTGGTTGTTCAGTTTAGTGATTTTGAGTGAGAGTAACAGTGGACCCAATTGTCACTCTTCAGAGGGCCAGAACATCACCTCGTGTAGAAAGACAACTGTGTCATGCTGGTTAGGATCTGGTCCAGAACATCGATATTCCACAGGATGGAAATCCTTAGTTAAGATCATCCTTTTGAAGACTCTCTGTTGACAAAGAAATGATATGATCTGGTGGGTAATAATTGTAGTATCTTCCCTTCCCAACTGTCCCTGGGAAAAAAAGAGCTTCAGGAAACATGTTCATTTCCTGCAATAAGTAGTCATTTAATTAAAGAACAAAAGTAACAGGAATCAAAAATGCTTGCAGCTGTGATTCTGTTAGACATTATATAAAAAAGAATGAAATTATAATACATTAAATTAGTTTTTAGAACATGAACTTAAGTGTTTTACAAACTAATTGTGGTAAGTTCAAAATGTCTTGTCAACGTAATACTGAATGACAGTGTGTCATGTCCATTTATGTCAGAGGCCTTGGAATGGTAAAGCCAGTACATGCACAACATCTCCTTTTCCAAGATAGACTGCAAACCAGTTTAAAACAGGAGGTAAAGGAGAGTAGTAGGTTCTTTCAGGTAGCTTTACTTCAGTCTTTTCCAGCAGATCATCCCACTCCACAGGCCATTGCTCTTCTGACTTCAGAGCGAAGTACGTCCCGGGTGTTTCTTTCGTACGTAAGTGCTGCAGAGACATCATCTGCAGAGTCCTTCTTTCACATAAACGTCAAGGTATCCTGGTTGGAAAGACTTATATATTCCCTGATGTGTGTTCAGCAGCAATATCAAAAAGTAAAGACAGATTCTTCTCAGAAGAAAATTTCTATGGCCTGTGAAATCTAGGAGAAATAAGAGACAGGGTTTTGTAATTGCTTGGAAATGAAAAAACCATAAAATTTTTTAAAATTCTGTGTTAGATTAACAAAAAAATGTTTTTTGAAAACCCAGTATTCATTCTGTTTAAAGGGCCAGCAACAGTACTGAAGAATATTTGTGACTTTAAGTCTTAATTTTCACCAACTCCTTTCCACACGCATGCTGTGACTGCAGGGTGCTTACAGGCCTCGGGGCCCAGTCTAACCACTTTGCAGTTGTTTGTTAGTGCAAATGCAAATACTGGGGTAGGGTTGATTCTGGGCTTTCCCTGTTAGGCATTAAGCCACAGTTTGCCATTGGCAGTAATTTCTTCATTGTGCAGTGACCTCCTCATTCTGTAAGAGTTATCAGTGGTGAGCTGATGCTTCAGGAAATATGGGGACAAACCGTTGGTTTAATGGAGTCTGTCTGGAATAAATACACTCTTGCTCTGTAGGCTTGTTCTTGTGGCTGAGATACGTAATTCAAATCCCAATCGTTTGTAATGCCTCAGCACTAATTGTAAATTGTAAGCCTGTTTAGTCTTAATATCCTGAACAAATTTCAAAATACATCATTATAATCTACTTCAACTCCCCAGGGAGCTTCACTTAGGGAAGGTGTCTGTCTTTCAGACTTAAACTGCAGCCATCCCATTTGGTTTCCCCCAATGCAGTGATGTCTCACCCTAAACACTGTGTCCTAGAATGTTAAAAGGGCCCTAACATTTGCATGAACAGTCTAGAATGATACAAATATAGCATTTAGATGAATGTACTTATTTATGACTCAGTTGTATCACCTAGGTCATCTTTTCATGGAACATCCAATGCTCAGTTAAGCTCGAATTCAGTCTGAGTTCAGAAATAAGCTGGGAAATGTGGGCCCAGACACTGCTGAAGTGAGCCTTCCAGAATGCGAGACTGCACACCAAGTTCTCTAGTACAGGGTTAGACAACTTATTTTAGCAGCAAGCACGCCTGAGAATACTTAGAGCCACGGCAAGAGTACGCTGTGTCCCAGCAACTCCTAAAATTGTGTTTTAACAGCAATTGGACTTGCTCAAGAGACCTAATAGAAATTCTAGGAAATAAGTGGTTGCTATTTCAATTTTTCCCTAACTATAACAAGGTCTTTTTGCAAGTAACAAAGGCTGCGGAATCAGCCTCTCACAATTTTCCCCAGCTGGAAGAGGGAAGTGAATGTTTTCGTGCACGTTTAAGCGTGGTCCCTGTCATCAGTGCGGGCTCAGGAAGCAAGCAGTGCGTGGACAGGTGCTCGCTGCCCAGCCGCTCAGAGCGCAAGAACCCGCAGCAGGTAGCTCTCCGACGGACTGTCCGTGCCTCTGCCTTGGGGTGCTGCACTACTTCCCACAGCAGCTGGACTGACGTGCAGCTGGTACGGAAATCTCCAGGCTGGATCCGCCAGAACGAGTCCAGCGAGAACGAATGACGGGCATTATGTACGTCTTGGTGCGGTATGAAGAGTTATTTCTTAGGGGGAGGTTGCAGTGTTTGTGATAACACGGTTGCACACTCAAGTGAAAAACCTTTATAGAGTGCATTAACTTTTTAATCTACTTTAAAAAAAACCCAAACACTTTTTTTTTCTATACTGTACCCTACATTTAATTTTTCATCCTAGTTTTGAATCAAAGGTTGCAAGCTGAGTGATGTCCTGCAGAAGGTCTGGGGCCTTCTCAGTTCGTGCTAATCAAAGCAAAAAACATAATCAGAAAAGCCAGGTTCTGAACAGGAAGAAATACTTCCATGTTTTTATCAAATGAAGCTTCCGTGGCATAGTCTTCCCCCACATCCAGCCTCTAAGAGCAAAATCTCCAGATTCCAGGACTCAAGCAGACTGTTCTTAGCAGGCAATGGGAATATGTAGTGGGAAAACTGACCTTGTCAAATGTTTGCTTGATGCGTGTACCTCCATTTCATTGCTTTTGTATTCATTGAGCTCTTTCCGAATTGCTGCCTAGGAATTGAAAATAAAAGGAGGTTAACGATTTTGTAACTAAGCATTATAAAATACCGGACCTGCAGAGCAGCACAGGAGTTTGCTGAAGCAGAAACAGTAGGTATTGGGCACAGCAAGGCGTACTATGCTGGTAGAGATGCTGAGTATTTGGGTTACATGGATTGGTGATATGACACTTACTCATTACTGACTGCTGAAAGGGCCACTAGAAGCAATTCTGTCAGGAGAATGAAACCACGGTGTTTGTCTCACAGTCCAATTAAAATGTATTTAAGAGAAATCAATCAGCTGGTCAGCTGACTGATACGGGATTTCAACATGTCACTTTTTTATTAAAAATCAGACTGTCTGCTTTATCACCACTTGCAAATACCAGTCCAGACTGTGGTATCCCCTTTATCCATAGGATTGCACAGTCATAACTGAATAAAAATGTTCTCTTTTGTGCTTAATATAATGAAATTCAAGAACATAAAAGTGAGAGCATTCTTTTGTTTAAATGGCAACTGGAAGTCACAACTGAAGCATACTGCTTCTTTCACAGATTCTTGTATGTCTGGTACATCATCATTTAGCTACCTAAAATTATGAGGCTTATACACATGTGCATGTTTGATATCAGAGATTTGGTTTATTGAAAGAAAAATGAGGATAAATAATACATTATTCTACTCTGAAAGGGAAGTTTTTCAGTCACAAATGCAATGGTCAAACTCTTGACCCTGAACTGCTGGCATATTCCACTGGTATATCTAACTGAACTCCCACACTTTCTTTTTAGTTTATAAACCTGCCTAGTTAACAAGGAAAAAAAAAAAAAAAAAAACCCCACACAGTAAAACTGGGAAAAGCCTCATTTTAATACATAGCCAGTAAATACAAGGAAGATATGTGATTAATATATGACGAGAGCTGGGTTTGTTCAGCCTGGAGAAGAAAAGGCTCCAGGGAGACCTTAGAGCACCTTCCAGTACCTGAAGGGGCTACAAGGAAGCTGCAGGGGACTTTTTACAAGGGCCTGTAGTGACAGGACAAGGGTGAGATTGGGCATCAGGAAGAAATTCTTTGCGGTGAAGGTGGGGAGGCACTGGAACAGGTTGCCCAGAGATGTTGTGGATGCCCCATCCCTGGATGTCTTCAAGGCCAGGCTGGATGTGGCTTTGAGCAACCTGGTCTAGTGCAAGGTGTCCCTGCCCATGGCAGGGGGGTTGGAACTAGATGGGCTTTAAAGTCCCTTCCAACCCAAACCATTCTATGATTCTATGAAACCATTTATTACACTTTTTACTGGGCAGACACTGGAATGGAGAATCAAGTGTTTGATCTTCCTATCAGAACAAAGCAGTAAGCAATGGTTCTGCAGTTGCCATTTTACATAGTAAGTATCTCAGCATCCCTACTCATTCATTGCTGCAGTGCTGAAACATCAAAACTTACTCAGCAACTGTTCTGTCTGGAATCATGCTGAACTGTTTTTCTTACTACTCAAGAACCTAAATGTGAAAGTTAAATTAGGATGTAAATCAGCAATGTGGCAAGTATGTGATGGAACAAAAGCAAGTGTTTATGCTTGTGAAAATGTGGGATCAAGTGACTCCTTGAACATTAATAGGAAACAGGAAAGGAAATACTTGCATGTTTTGGACAAAATTTCCAGTCTGAAGATAAATGTTAATACTGTATTGGCTGGAAGTGTTTTTGCGTTGCAGCTGAAAACATTAAGAAAGATTGTATCCACTTCTTTTTTCTTGTCAGTCGATGGGCTGAGTAGAATCCTTTACAGTACCACATATAGGCAATTTTATAAATAGTATTTTTTATGACACTGTGCATTGGTCAGTGTGGTTTCAGCATAAAACATAAGGGTAACGTTTACAGAGATTAGATGTCCCAGAGGTTGATTGTCTCTGCAGAATGTGATGTATCATCATGGACAAAGTAAGCAGAAAGCAGAAATATGTCATTAATTATGTCAGTACCTTATCTGCTGCTGATAGTCTTGTCCATGGTTTATCTGCTCGCCTGTCGTAGTCCTGTGCTTTTGCCACTTCCACATAATCGCTGAATCGAATCAGGATTTTTCTGTCTCTCAGTTCATCAACTGTAGGTCTCTGGTTAAGCTGCATTAGAGAGTTTTGTAAAATGAAACCAGTGTTAATAACAAACACATCAACCTATACGCAACATACTCAGCTTCCCATCCTAGCTTAGTGCGCATTTATCTATATGGAAAAAAGCCGATCCTTGGAAACTCCAGGGAAATAATCCTTCAGAGGATTGTTAGGAGAGTAATAATCATTTAAATGGAGTTGTGGGCTACAGCACAGTGGTTTTATAATGGAAAAAATAGGAAAGTATTTTAACCTGGATACTGATAACATGCATTTACAATATGTGAAGGAATGCTAATGAATTTCTGACCTGTGTATAATATCACATGCCGTGGGGTTTCCTACTGCAGTCAGCAGCAGGTTGTCTGTGTAAGGTTTTCAGGAGTGGCCCCACTCTAAGAATTTCAATTTGGCTTTAACAAGTTATTGGTATATTTGTCTTATAATTCCAGTAGGGATTCCTAGGAACAGGACAATAACAAGTTCTACTTCTGATTCAGAGAAAACCTTAACTGCAAAGAGAAGTTTGCTGTGGAAGCACACCTGGTGCTCAGCTGGGAGTCAGCTCTGCGACTGATGTAAATGTTCTGCTAGGTCTCGTGTAGCTGAGATAAAGTAGATACGTTTAAATTTCATATTACCAGATGCCACTGTTTGAGGCAGTGCTGAACAGGATGTACGTGAAGGGAGGTTTTGTGTAATAATGACCTCTGTGACTGGTTGATGTTATATACATTAGCTTTGCTAAATTTCTATAAACTATTGGAAGGTATTGCAAGATTTTACCTTTCTTGTCAGTCTCTGTTTGATTTCCCTTCGTTCTTCCTGTTCTGTTTGATCATTTCGTTCTGTGGAGAATGTAAAAAAAAGATTACTTTCCTCATGAGAAAGATCAGCAGTTTCCAAAGTTTCAGGCAATAAAAATTAGAGCACAGAAAAATCAGTAGCTGGTTCTTAGGTGTATGTTTTGTTAGTTCAGTACATCCCTCTGGTTCTCTCTTAGAACACAGAGTTACCTCTCCGTAAGGATTAGTTACCACTCTGTAAGGACACCATACTGCTGCCAATGGCAGCTTTTCCTGTGCTCTAAACTCCAATTCCAAGGAGGTTTACTAAAACAACAGCAGCCACACCAATTCTCCAATCGTGTACATTTTAGAAGGAAAATCAAACTATTCCATAGTTCATCATCATCTATTATTTTCCACATTGCTGGAGCCCTTCATTGCTGTAGATGCTGAAAAGACATTGCAGCAGCTTCAGGGAAAGGATATTCTTTCCTGCGTAACATTATTCTCAAGCTACATCTTGAGATGGTCACACTGCCACAATAGTTATCTTTGCCTTGCATGCTTTTTTCCTCTGCTATTCACGATACGCCACTGACATTAGAACCCTTTATCCTCATGGGTTTTTCTTTTGTAGTGCTCCATTCCAACCTAAGCCAGCTTGCTTTTGTGTGTTGTGCCTATTAACATTCAAGCCGTGATAACTCCTACACACTGGGTCTAAAAATAGACCAGAGTGCCGTAACACTGTGTGAAATATATCCTTTGCCTTGGGAAACGAGTTAATGGCGTTTCTATTTCTAGTACTATCTGTTACTAAATTAAGGCATGAGTCTGTGAACTGAACAAAGCTGAAGGCCTGGAGAAAAATGTTAAACCATTCTGGGATTCTCTGGATACTACTGTGAAGTTGATTATACCACTTGCATTAGGAATTTCCAGTGTTAAAGCACACGTGTGATTTTTAATATGCCTCGAAGAAACACTAGCACTGCAGATGAGTTTTAAAATGGTATTTTTAGTAATGAAGTATTCTTCCCCTTTATTTTTATGCTCATTAGATTACACTGAAATGCAATTGTAAGCATCTGCTTAAAATTGCATGGTAGTGCATAGCCCCAACTGGCTAGAGTAAAAATGTAAATCACACGAATCTAAAATGCTATACTGGGCTGTATTACAATTCGGTGGCAAGGCACACAAATTTAAAAGAGAATAGGACAGCTAAAATTAGTGCTCTGTCAGGAAGGAGCAGCTATTTAAGTCTGGAATGCTTAAAAAGAGAACAGATTTTAAAAGCAGAGTGTCTTCTAAGATGTAGAGATGCCTGCAAGAAGTTACTAATATGCTTCATTCAGTTTTAATTCACCCCTCTTAGAGTAGATACTCTTATCTATATGTTTTTATTAGAAGAAGAGACATTTCTGTGGGGTAGTGCCTTTTAAGATATGACTCTGATATGCACTGAGAGAATTCCTAAACAAAAGAACAACCACAAATACATGTTTCTGATCAGAAAACACTTTTCCAGATCCACTAAATGTATAGTGACCCATTTCTCTGAGACACTCACTTGGGTTCAGTGCTTATTCCCAGCTTCAAAAAGTACAAGAAATAGTTCTTTTAGAAAAAATAAGATTTGATAGGAAATGCTAGCAAGGGCATTACGAAACCCTGGTGTTTACAGAGACAAACCAGAGAGGTTTTCCCATCAACATCACTCTGCCTAGATCCATTCATTAGTGAGGGTGGTTGGATAAATCACAGTAGAGGGATGCTCCCAATTATGAAGTGGCATGTGCAGTACTGTAATTCACTCTGCTGCTCTGTGAGTTATTCAGGGAACTCTTAGCTGTGCGTGACACTAAAACAATTCCTGGTGTTAAGAATGAACCGAGGATTGTACAGTGTGTTTTCAGAGATGCTGCCTTCTTCAGTGGGAATGTCAGCTTTCTGTTCCCTACAGGAAGAACACACGTGAAGGAAGACCTGGGTTGCGATTTTCGTTCATACGCTTCGTGTTTCTGTAGTTAAACAACGTAAAAGATCAACAAAATTGTAAGAAAGTGTTGAGTTTCTTAGCTTTTAATTATTACTTTTATCTCAGGAACATCTCCCTAAGGGAGATAAGAAATCCCTTTTTTTAATCTTACAGAGATTTGTTTTAAAATAACATAGTAGTTGTACTCGGGCACTTGCAATGTGCCTCTTTTTGATGGAGTTGTGCAGATGTGAATTATTAGTCCTTAAAACAGCTTTGGGGGTAGTTCTGCTTCTGTTAGCCCTAGGTATTATGAACATCAAAAATATTAGGAAACTTAGGACGCAACTGTACAGCCCGGAGGAGGTTGTAGGGATTTCATTGAAGGGCATTTATACTGCCCCAGCTTTGCATGCCACACCCAATCCAGGTGTTTTTAAAGTCCATAAGAAGAATGTCAATTCCCTATTAATAAAAAGAGACTTTACTGATTTCCAAATTCATTCAAAACTGAGACTAGAGCTGTTGCATCTGTCCAGCCTTTTCAGATTACAGCTGATGCAGCTAACAGGTGACCTTAGCTCTTTACAAGACACCCAGCTTTTTATATAATGAAAAAGTAAACAAAATAGAAGTGGTTCTGATCTCAGCTGAACCTGTATAAAGCCTGAGCAACTGAACTGAAATCAATAAATTTGCTCCACGCTGGGAGCTCTTTAAATGAGATACAGATCTAGACCAGTATGTTTAGCTGGCATTCAGGAAATATCTTTAATTCAGCTTTATCTTCTTTCTCCTTTATCTCTCTCTAAGCTCATTATATGAATGTATTCAAACTTTTTTATTATTAAAGCTGGTCAGTTTAACCCAGATTAAGGATGTAAACAGCACACTTCAAAAAGTAAACATAAAGGGACAGATTTTTTCAGTAGAGACTAGCTCTTCCTTAGCCAGAAAAAAACCCAAAGAAACCGATTTTCAGAGATCTTAGGTACTGACTCTTGAAAATCTGGCCTCACATACTGGGTTAATGCTGCTTCTTGTCTCTTGTAGTAGATGACAGGTGAAGTTAGGCCAAGTTCATCCATTCACATTTGCAAAGAATGTACCCTGTTCCTCATTTAGCTGTGGACGTGTTAGGTACATCTGCTTTTACCAGGTGTGATGTACACGTTCAAACAGTACTGAAAATACCGATAAATATGATTTGACTATGGAATTCCTTTGTGTTATCACTGAAATGAAAGCCCCAGTAACTTCAATGGCAGGAGCATAAAGTTTTTTCTATGAACTACTGCAAAAGTTCTGAGACACTGAATTTTAGGTAACAAAATGTAGATAACTTTTTTCCTAGCGAATTACAACCATATTAATAATTAAATAGCATAGGCAGTGTGACTTGTATGACATAAACTATGTGGCTTTATGGTTTATGCTTGTTTAATGAGAAACAAGCTATTGTTCACATGATGCTGGTTTTTGTCTTTCAGCACTAAATAGGCAGGGAAAATAACAGAAGCAATATATTTGCCCTTCAAGCAGATGGCCTCCCCCTTTCTCCTGTCTGAGATCCATAATGGAGACAGTTTTAGAGATCTCTCTCACCTTCCTGTAACTTAAAGGATTCCCAGCACTTGTAAGGGAAGGGATTATGTTCATCACTTTTTGATCCCCAGGTCAGAACACCAATCTTTAGGAACAGAGTTGCAAGTTTCTGCCTTGTGTGTATTTGAGAGACGTTGAGAACATGCCCCTGTGGCAGCACCTGTAAAAGGCCTGGAACTGTCCCTCTAATAACCCTAATAACTCAGAATGGTCTTTCTTTGACTTGCCTTTGGGAAGGTCTCTAATGATGGGAACAAATGTACTTGATAGAAGAACCACACCTCTGCAAGGATGCTTTGTCCATTCCTCTTTAGCCTTGGTGGTGTTCAGTGTGTGGTGTCCCATGACTGTCCACATCGTGAAAAATGACAGTCCAACTCTGATTGCACTGTGTGACACTAAGATTGTATTCCCCTCTTAGACATCCATAACAGGGTAATGAGAATGAAAATGATTTGAAAGCCTACACTTGAACAAGCCATTCTTTTCTGTATGAAATCGCATTCCTTTATCAAGTTTTAAATTCTGATTCCTGCAGTATGTGAAACCAATGAAAAAACCATGTGAAAAATTAAAACTTTTAGGTACAGGAAATAATACCAGTGAATTTGTCTATTTAAAATAATATGTTCTAGAAGTGAAATCAAGTTTCAACAAACACATATAAAATACTTTAGGAAAAAATACTCACGTTTAAGTATATTTCTTCTTTCTAGCTCCTCAACAGCAGGTCTTTGGCTGAGTCGCCTGCGGAAAAACACCAAAATCACATTTTGTACCATGCCTGTTCTTTGGAAAGTCTGCAGTATTCTCAGTTCTGGTTGGTGTTTTCCTCAGGGAGGGGACTACAAAATCCCACTCCAGGATTCAGGAAGAAAAAAAACCCCAAACCACAAGAATCCTAGCACCAGAATTCTTTCTTGTATTATTGTTCCCAAATGTCAGCAATGCAGGTAGAAGTTCTCTAGTTTGCTCTGCTGCCAGTGCAGTGCTTCCTCAGAACATGCATCCTTTCCACCATACTTTCCAGACAGGCAGTTAGAACCAGTGCTCTCCAGCAGTTAAATTCAGTCTTGAGGGAGTATTTAAGGTGGTTATCAAATGAGTTTCACAGTCATCTGTAGCTGTCACTGCCTCCACCTTGTAATCTCACGAAGCAGCAGGCTTCCTTTTTTTCTAGGAACACCAGTGATGCATCCTGACAAAATGCAGACTTCCCAGAAAGAAAGCTTTCCTGTGGTTTCCCGACTACACGTCTAGCAGACCAATCCAGCAGCTCTCCTCCCGCCTGCTGAATAAAATTCATGTGCTGCTCACAGCCTCACGCTGTCTGAACGGAGTGTCTTAGGCAGTTTCACCTCCCCTTTTCAGTAGTGCTGCTTCAGGATTGAGTCTTCAGATCATATGATCAGTGCCACAGCGATTTTATTCTGCATACTAAATGAGACTTCCCCACGAGACACTGCTAATATCTGCAGAGAATCTCAGGTAATTGAACCCCTCCCCTAGGCAGACACACATGCTGCAGTTGCTAGCTTTCAAGTAATAATCCAGCAAGCAGATCGGAAAGAGTTTATGATGCTTTCTGGCCAGCGTTCTGGCAACGTTAAGGATTCTCATCATCTCCCCTCCAGCAGATGTTGCCAAGCCAGAGATGAAGTTACGGAGACAAAGAAATACTCAGAGCAGGGGCCACACTGCTGCAGTAGTTATCCCTCTGCTGTGTATAGGAAATACAGGGATGACTATAAAGTGATGCTATAACAAGATCTACATTTTATCGAGAGATGAAAAAGTGAAGTAACTGTTAACAGACTGTCAAAGAACCAGTAAAAGTACCTGATTCTAATTTCTCCTTGTTTTGTAAGGCTTACCCAAATACACCTTCAAAATCAGCTCTGTCTGCATGTTATGAGACCAACGGCACAAAATACAAATGTAACTCCTTATAGCACAAAATACAAATGTAACTCCTTATCCTTTTTTAATTAATTTCTCTGAGATCACTGGGAAAGCGCTCATGTTTTGCAACAGGGAGATACATACCACATTCACACCAACAGAAAACTTAAGATGATGAGCTCTCGAGCTCAGGAACACCTACAGCCTAACTCTCGTTCTTCCTACCTCACATTTTGTATCAGCTAAAGTTCTTCTCCTGCTGTCTGGATTTCTCTTTGAAGTAATAAGTTGGATACTCCAGCAGTGGAAGTTGCAGTAATCCAAACTGAAACAGGAATGATGCTGAAATGCCCTACTAAAGGCTTTAAACATATATTTTTAATTCCTGCTACCCTTGGACTCCTCCCTCCTCCCTCATTTCCCTGTATGTCTCAGAAACGATACAACTCTGGCTAGGTTTTGTTTGAAAGAGATTAATGTGCATTTTATAATATAAATCAGGGAAGAATGAGTTACTCAGAGAGCTTATCTGGAAATGAAAGGTCCACCTGACCTGCTGCTCACATGCCTCTCTCTCAAGCCATTCTTAATTACAGCCCTTCCCTGCGAGATTTATAGATTCTCCCAAAATGTGTACATTAGATTTCAGAGGCCCCTTTTAAACTGGGGGATTAAAAGCCTAACAGAAATTATTAAAGCAGTGTGAGAATGCGTATGTATATGAATGTTATATATATTTATGTATATATGTAGTTACGTGTGATGGTTAATTATTTAAAACCCTGTTTCCCTTTTTAGCTTTATGATAAAAACATGCTAGATGCCCAGACACAACAACGTAGTTTTGTGCACACCCTCAGCTTTACCCACAACAGAAGGAAAAGGTGCAGATATATACAGGCATACAGTCACACGAGGGCATTCCGGTTTTTTCCCCGAGATACGGTCCACATTTCCAAGCATTTTGCCACAGCCACGAAACTAGAAGTTTGCTTTTCTTCAAAATCAAATTCTGTCAGGATTTCGGGAAACTGGGGATAGGGTGAAAACACCAAATACCGTGGGAGTCATGCTCAAACTATGAGAAGTGGCAACACTACTGACGTTGTTGCTACCAAGGTGCAGGGACATTTTGCTTCTCTCTGTTACATTATTTTTTCTGTTCAGAAAAAAGCCTCTGTCTGCCCAGAAACCCCTTGTGTTTGCTTCCTCCGCTGTGCCAGATATGTCGAATGGACCCCAGATGCCTCCACCAAGGAGCTGGTGACTGGAACGAGGGGAAGTAGCCGTGAGCACGGCCCAGCCGGGCAAGCGAGGGCTGGGGCGCCACACGTCTCTGCTGAGCTGTGCTGGGGGAAATGAGGGCCTGAGGCGCAGTTTCCGGAGGAGGGTCTGTACCACATCCCCAGAGGAGTGTACCTGCTCGCACACCGCCCTGCCTTGCCCAATCATCCGTCATAGAAAGAAACTAGTTGCAGCTGCGGGTATTTGCTGTGCGAGCAGTTTGTCCTGACTCACTCAGCTGTGGGGGAGGATGGAGTAGGGTGCTGCAGCCCCCCAGTCCCAGCTGGGCTGCTCCAGTCGCACTTTGTTTCCTCAGAAGGGGACGCGCAGGCCCCCATGGCACTGCCCGCTTCCCTCAGAACTTGCCTTGCGGCCGGGCTCGGAGCAACATAAAGACAGATACTTCCGAGGGCTCCTGTCAGGTCAGCGGCTCAGCAAGGGAAGCTGCAGGTTACCTCTGACGAGAAGGCCTGTCCCTCTCTGAGGGGAGCTTTTTAGTGAGAAATCATTTCAGATGAGTTTGTGCCTCTACTTGGGTGAGCTGTTGTGGCACTGTGGAGCTAGATGTGCCCTCCCAAACAACAAGTGCTCTATTTTGCATATTTATTTCTAGGATTTTTTTTTTCTCCCAAGCTGTTAAAATATGAAATACACTACTGACAGAAGCAGAAAACATCCCCTGCGTGTTGAGGTCAGCGTGTTTCCTCAGGAGGCCCTCCGGCCCTGCGGAGAGGCAGCACCATGGCCTCAGGAACGCTGCTGCGCCTCAGGGAGACCTGGTGCAGGGAAATGGCGGCCGGCTCGCCTCACACCGCTGTTGGGGAGTGCCGACTAGGAAACGGGTATGGAGAGGCAAAGGCTCGAGAGAGGAGATGCTCCTATCTTCCCATTTAAAGGAGATAAACTCTAGCAGAATAACAATTACCAGAAAACTACATTGCAGTAGAGGAGGTGGTGCGTGATCCCAGAGGATGAAGCAGGCACCTGCCACAAAGGAGCTTTTGTGAAGGCTAAAAACTGAACTCTCAGTGGACTGTGGATGATCTGCAGAAGCTTTACACAGGGAGAATTTTGTATTACAGACATAAGGGCCATTTTGAAGCAAAGTAGAGCCCTGGCTCATTTCCTGTGGGCTCAGCAAAGTACCTGCACCTGAGTGTGGGACTCCATGCTGGGGCTAGCCTGCACCCACCCTAGGTGCCATATTGCTCTGCAGCTGCAGGAGCCACTTGAAAGTGTGAGGCTCCAGAATTGCCGCAGTGCCGAGGTGGACGTGGCTGGGTAAGTTCTGTGCTTTCTGTTTGTATTGTTTTTTTCATCTGTGGACTCACAGCCCCACATGGGACTCACCTCAGTGAGGTGGCTGTAAACTCTGCTGGGAGTACTAACACAGTGCACCACCTCTGTTGTGTTACAGTAATGGTTTATTTTCAGTTGGCTTAGATATCTGTTTATTGCTTTTGGGAAAAGCGTCCAATTAATATTTTATGTTCTTGGGCAGTATTAAAACCCAGGTTTGGGTATTTTTGCACTGTCTGCTGAGGCAGGAGTGCTCCCTCTGAGCACCTCCACAGAGCCAGCCATGTCTGGAAAGGTCTTGAAAGCTTTCTTTAAAACTGTTAAGTAACTTGCAGGCAAGTCCCATCTCTGTCCAGGTCACAGACTCACAGAGTGGAAGGGGTTGGAAGGCACCTCTAGAGATCATCTAGTCCAACCCCCCTGCCACAGCAGGATCCCCTAGAGTAGATCCCACAGGAACAAGTCCAGGTGGCTTTGGAAAGTCTCCAGGGAAGGAGACTCCACCACCTTCCTCAGCAGCCTGCTCCAGTGCTCTGTCACTCTCACGGTGAGGAAGGTTTCCTCATGGTCAGGTTGAACCTTCTGTTTTCCAGTTTGTGGCCACTGCCTGTCACTCGACACCACTGAGAAGAGCCTGGCTCCATCTTCCTGACACCCCAGCTTTAGATATGGATAAGCATTGATAAGATCCCCTCTCAGCCTCCTCTTCTCCAAGCTAAACAGACCCAGCTCCCTCAGCATTTCCTCATACCGAAGGTTCTCCAGGCCCTTCATCATCATAGTGGCCCTGCACTGGACCCTCTCCAGTAGCTCCTTGTCCTTCTTGAGCTGAGGAGCCCAGAATTGGACACAGCACTCCAAGGGAGGCCTCACCAGCACAGAGTAGAGGGGGAGGATAACTTCCTTCGACCTTCTGGCCATGCTCTTCTTAAAGCACCCCAGGATACCACTGACCGCCTTGGCCACCCTGTTGGCTCATGGTCATCCTGTTGTCCACCAGGACTCCAAGGTCCTTTTCCCCAGAGCTGCCCTTCATGAGAACAGCCCCCACTGATCCATGGGGTTGTTCCTCCCCAGATGCAGTACTTTACACTTGCCCTGACTGAACTGCATTCAAATTCTCCCCGCCTAGCTCTCCAGCCTGCCCAGGTCATGCTAGATGGCAGCACGGCCTTCTGGTGTGGCAGCCACTCCTCACAGTTTTGTATCGTAGCAAACTTGCTGAGGGGACATTCTATCCTTTGTCCAGGTCATTGATGAAT